TTTCCCCTAGACTCTAAAATACCTTTAACTAACTCTGATCCAAAATCTTGTTGCCTATGAAGAAAATAGTAACAGACCACTTTCTGAAGTTCTTTATAAAATTTCTTATTCGCAACAGTATACTAGTTGGAGAGCTGGTTGTAAGTCCAAGTGGTCGCTAAATGCGTACATCGCTAAGTGAGGAGAGGCTGTATTTAAAAAAGGGGACAGACAGATAGCAGTGAACTACAGGTCAGTGTCATTAACATGCATAGTATGTAAAGTTATGAAGAAGATTATCAAGAAAAGAGTAGTGGAGCACCTGAAAAGGAGTAGATTAATAAACAACAACCAGCACAGTTTTTGAGATGGTTAATCCTCTCTCGTAAATCTGCTAGAGTTCTGTGATAAGGTAATGATGGTTAGGAAGAAGAAAAGGAATGAGTGAACTGCATACTTTTGAACTGCAAAAAGCCATTTGATGTAGTACCCCATAAGGGGCTGGCACAAAAGCTAGAGGAGAAGACAGGAATTAAAATGAAAGAACTACAGTGGATCAAGAAATACTGAGCCAGAAGGAAGTCACGAGTCACTGTCAGGGAGATGTCGGAATGGGCGAGTCAGACAAGTGGGGTTCCACAAGGGTCAGTAGTGTTCCTTGTGTATGTAAACAACATGACACGAAATAGTCAGAAGTGTCCTTGTATGCAGATGATGTAAAAATAATAAGAATATATATAGAAGCAGACCAGGAGTGACTACAAATGGATCTGGAAAAGCTGCATGATTGGTCTGACAAATGGGTATTGGAATTTAACCCTTTCAGGGTCCAGAGGCCAAACTTCAAAGTGTGCACCAGGGTCCAATAATTTTCAAAAAATAATTTTGTTATTTTTTCTTATGAAATGGTAGAGAATCTTTTCCTAAAGGTAATAAAACAAAAACTACGAAATTTGATGGAAAATTGATGAAATTATGCTCTCATGAATTTTGATGTGTCGGCAATATTTATACATCAGCGATTTTGCTGTCTTTGACTCCCATTTTAGGCCAATTACATTATTCCAGTCAACCAAATTCTTAGCTATTTCACTAGTATTACTTCTATTCTATCGATTGTGCACAAGAAATCGCCAAGTCAACTGTTTCAACAACAAAATAAAGTGACCGGAAATTGGTAATTTGGCCAATTTAACGCAAAGTTCAAAATATTCCAATTTCAAAATAGGGACCGGAATAAACAATGCAGGCATTCCTGGCACTAAACTAACAATTCCTTTGTTCATTAGTTACATTTTCAGGCTTTACAAATGAATTCCATTTTGATTTTTTATTCACATAATGAATTTTTATTCAAACCAAAAAATAGAAGATTTACTCTTATGCAATACTGTAATAATTGTATAAATAATATCACCACATTTGTGAATGTATATTAGACCCATCAGCTGTCATGTATTAGACGTGTGAGGTCATTTGTTTACTCTTGAACATCGACAAAAATTTGACATTTCTGCTACTTTGAGCTCAGTTTCAAGCCATTTCCAGTACTAAAACCAATCAAAATCATCTCTGTTTCTGTAGTATATCTTCCATTCTATCAAATGAGACCAAGAAATCACAAATACAACTATAAAAAACATACGAAAAACACTGCAAAGTCGCTGTTTTAATCGAAAATTACGGTCTCAGTTTTTTCTCATTATGCACTGTGTGCTGCAGGATTTGTTTTATGTGGTGCACACATACTACATAGATGTATTCTCTCATATCTAGGCCCAAATTTACTGCTCACAGCTTATCAGAGTGAGCTGAGCTCATGGCATAGATATACGGTTTGGACCCTGAACGTAAAGCCGTAGATCTACGGCACGGACCCTGAAAGGGTTAACTCTTAAATTGGGATACCCTGAAAAAATTCCTGTCTGTGGGAGATTTTGAAAAAAAAATCTTGGATAGAATTAATTTTTCTGAATTAAGAGTGAAATGAGTGAAATCTAACAAGAACTTAAGATTTTATGGTATAATGAAGTTGGTGAAAAAATTATCACTCATCGGCAACAGTGGAGTAAAAGCACCAGCGATATTTAAATTTTACAATTTATTGACACCAAGAAATGACTGTTAGTTTGAAAAATGGCAGATGAAGTTCAATGTGGATAAGTGTAAGGTACTAGTCCTTGGTAATGAAAATAACCCTTGAAGCTATAAACTAGGTGAGGTAGAACTTGATCATACAGAATGTGAAAAAGACTTGGGAGTCATGGTAAGCAGAAATCTAAAGCCAAGACAGCAGTGCCTAAGTGTGCACAACAAGGCTAACAGATTACTAGGATTTATTTCAAGACGTATAAGTAACAAAAGTCCACAAGTTATTTTACAGCTCTATACATCACTAGTGAAGCCTCATTTAGATTATGCTGCTCAGTTTTGGTCTCCTTACTACAGGATGGAAATAGATTCATTGGAGAACATACAGAGAATGACACAAAATGATTTACTGTATAAGGAATCTCCAGTATGAAGACAGACTTAGAGCCTTGAATCTCCACTCTCTGGAGAGACATAGAATGAGATATCATTGAGGTATATATAAGTGGATGATGGGGGATAAACAAAGGTGATATTAATGAAGTACCAAGGGTGTTGAACCAGGTAAGAACCAGAAATAATGGATTTAAGTTTGATAAATTTAGATTTAGAAAGGACATAGGTAAGTACTGGTTTTCAAACAGTTGTGGATGTGTGGAATGGTCTTCCAAGTAGGATGATCGAGGCTAGGACCTTGGGTAGCTTTAAAAAAAAGAGACTGGACAAATATATGAGTGGGAGGGGCTGGGTTTGATTGGTGTTGTGGGTATGAGAGTAAATTCTTGGGTAGTTTAGGGTAGGGGTGGTTTTGATAAGGACCTGCCTTGTATGGGCCAGTAGGTCTTTTGCAGTGTTCCTCAATTCTTATGTTCTTATGTTTTGTGTTTTTAACTGCTTTTAATGTTTTAACTATTAACACTAGTTTCTTACAATATTAGATGTATTTAAATGTGTTTTAGTATTTCAATCATGGGGAAATGTTTGCCTGATATTGCTCCACTTGGAATATATGGTATAATTGTTTTTTATTCTTTTTTACAACAGTGGTACCCCGTGTTTCAGCCATAATTCATTCCAGAAGGCTGAGTGCCGTTACTGAATGAAATTGTTCCCATAAGGAATAATGTAAATTACATTAGTCCATTTCAGACCCCAAAAATACACTTACAAAAGCACTTACAATAATTTTATTTATTTTATTATCACACTGGCCGATTCCCACCAAGGCAGGGTGGCCCGAAAAAGAAAAACTTTCACCATCATTCACTCCATCACTGTCTTGCCAGAAGGGTGCTTTACACTACAGTTTTTAAACTGCAACATTAACACCCCTCCTTCAGAGTGCAGGCACTGTACTTACCATCTCCAGGACTCAAGTCCGGCCTGCCGGTTTCCCTGAACCCCTTCATAAATGTTACTTTGCTCACACTCCAACAGCACGTCAAGTATTAAAAACCATTCGTCTCCATTCACTCCTATCAAACACGCTCACGCAAGCCCCTCGCACACAAAACCTCCTTTACCCCCTCCCTCCAACCTTTCCTAGGCCGACCCCTACCCCGCCTTCCTTCTACTACAGACTGATACACTCTTGAAGTCACTCTGTTTCGCTCCATTCTCTCTACATGTCCGAACCACCTCAACAACCCTTCCTCAGCCCTCTGGACAACATAATTGTTCGAGTTGGGAGCTGTACAAAACTCGGGGTACCACTGTATTTTGGTCTTTTAAGGCTATGTACAAGGAGTACTTATAACATTACAACTGTTTCAGAGTATAATACTCCTCAAAACATGGAAATCATTCACACTGTTTGACTGTACTGGGTTAAATATACTTAGTGTGCTTTGTGACTGAATTCCACTGTTAGTATAATGAAACTGTAATGAATTTGGACTGAATAAGTCATCTTTGTGCTACTTGTATACACTGTTTGCTGGTAGGGAAGCTGGTGGTGAAACAATAGCTCCTAGTTCATTATTTACTTTTGCTAGTTAGGCATACTAGTATGTCAGACACTGTCATCACCTGAGTAGCTCATCATGATACATTGTGTGGACCCTGCTGGCCTTAGATGTTTCTTCAAATGTATGAATAGATGGAAGTCCCAAAGAGTTGTGCTGAGGTCAAAAATATTGGTAGGTGGCATGTTTGTAGGTACAAAACAATGTGCATACTAGTATGTTGGAGACAGTTTAAGGGTTAACCCTAGCAAATGCAAAGTTATGAAAAACAGAAATTGACAAAGACACCCAAAAACAGTGTACATTTTCAAGAAAGAAAGAGAGAGAGACATTCATTCTTGCTTAAAGGTTAAGAAGCAGACTCTAGAGCAAGAGCTCACCTACAAACTCAAATTTGTATTTCACACTGTATTTGCATAAGTTTTTTTTAAATTCAATCTACTAGTTGCATCATTGAAACTCTGAAGTAAAATAAGGTTTTAAGAAGCTTCATAGCACTATCATGCTCCCAACTCCATCATCATTGCACATAAGGTTCATAACACTACATATCACTGTGCAATCTTACCTATCAGCCTGGCCACCAGGTGGGGAAAGGCTAGGTCAAAAATTACCATAATTAGCCAGATGTACCCACAGCATTGAGATTTGTTATACGGACTAGGTCAACGTTTAAAACTATGTCCTATGTACTAGCGTCCTGCCTCACAAGAGGACATTCATAGCTATATGTTCACATTACAGAATTTTCTGAACCACTCTTAAATACAAAAACTCAAATATACATAAGCCTTTAAGAAGAGAGTAAGAGTGAAAAAATAATTTCAGCGTCTATCTCCAGCGCAAGCTTTGACTGGGACATAAAAATATCCAGCCTTTAAAAACAAAATGTACATATGCTAGTACTGTACTAGATAAATGTGATGCTCACACAAAAAGAGATAAATATTTTCCAAATGTACATACCATTAGCTACTTCATTTTCTTCTTCTGAAGATTCTCTTGACCCTTCTTTCTCTAACAGTGGCCTTGGGATCTCTCCATTACCCTGCATTTCTGTGGGTCTTGACTCCCCCGGCTGATTAAGTTCAACATGAAACTGGGACTCTCCTCCTGGTGTGTTTCTCATGTGATGGTGGTGATTGCGATGTTTCTTCTTATTCTTAATTATTATTTTGCGTTTCAAGAGTGATGGAGGAGGCAGTGCAACACCAGGCTCAATCTGTAAATAACATTGATGCATTCATAACTTTATTAAGTAAATTACTGTAAATATACTAGATGGATTCCTACAAAAGTATACGATAATACATACAGTATTATTAATTTTAAGAAACAAAAATCTTTACACAAGACAACATAGTCTACATTCTAAAATTGCTATTAGATAACTGCAAATCTCTTAATACACCGTATTGTAGATTGCCAGTGGAAATGTTTACAAAATTAAGAGTAATCTGGATCAGAAATATAGTATACAGCATAATACACACACCTCAGGTGGCAAGACAGGGATGGAGTGAGTGATGGTGAAAATGTTTCTTCTTTTTCGGGTCGCCCTACCTCGGTGGGAGATGGCCAGTACATTTAAAAAAAAAGAGGTCAAGAAAATAATTTTACATTTCACCTACATAATAATTAGATAAAGAAAAAAGTCTTACTGGAAATGCTTCTAGTGGGCTATCCAACAACATGTCACCAAAAAATTCTCTGCAGTAGCCTGCAATTTTGGCTTGCTGCCGAGGATTACAGTGGTTCTCAAAGGAGAGAATTACAGGCCACTCGGATGTCTTGAAGGCTGACTCTGCTATACCTTCAATCACTTCCTGTAGAAATTAAGTTAATTAGTAAATCTGCACTTTTAAGGGAAATATACAGTAGAGTATGGATTATCATAGCACTCTCAGAGGGTACGGTGTGAAAAATTCTATACCACATTCTATTTATCATTTTTTCATAATCCCGCTTTGTTGCGCATTACTTTTTCATTGTTTAGGTACCAGATTGAACAAGACCATCTAATGTTAAACACCGAATAACTAATTCCCAATGTAAACAATAATGTTAAGTGATAATATTTAATGCCAGATAATCAATGATCTAATGTAATAAATAGTAAACAATATGCAGTACAGTGGACCCTCGGCTAACGAAAACATTGCCTAACGTTAAATCCACCCAATGAAGTGTTTGAGTGTAAAAATTTTGGCCTGGCTAACGATAAAAAACTCGCCCAACGTGATTCGTTCCGAACCTGTTCGTCCAGCCTGAGTGCCTCAGATACCCTGCCGTCATTATTTACAAGCCAGGGTGGACAGTTTCATGCATACATTCGATACATTTTGTATTATTCCATTGTTTATAGTGCTTGTAACTGTTAACCCCTTCAGGGTCCAAGGCCCAAATCTGAAGTGGTGCCCCAGTGTCCAAGAATTTAAAAAAAAAAAATTTGTTCTTTTTTCTTATGAAATGGTAGAGAATCTTTTTGTGAAGGTAATAAAACAAAAAGTATGACATTTGATGGAAAATTGACGAAATTATGTTCTCGCGAGTTTTGATGTGTCAGCGATATTTACGAATCGGCGATTTTGCCGACTTTGACTCCCATTTTAGGCCAATTACATTATTCCAGTCAACCAAATTCTTAGCTATTTCACTAGTATTACTTCTATTCTATCGATTGAGCACAAGAAATCGCCAAGTCAACTGTTTCAACTACAAATTAAAGTGATTGGAAATTGTTAATTTGGCCAATTTAATACAAAGTTCAAAATATTCCAATTTCAAAATAGGGTCCAGAATAAACAATGTAGGTATTCCTGGAACTAAATTAACATTTCCTCTGTTCATTAGTTACGTTTTGAGGCTTTACAAATAAATTCCACTTGGATTTTTTATTCACATAATGAATTTTTATTCACACCAAAAAATAGAAGATTTACTGTTATGCATGTTATGGGGCTATAGGACCCAACATGTATTTATAAGTAACAGTTACTCTGGAATACCTAATTATATTGAATTGATGGGGACTTTGCTCTAAATGTCAGAAGGACTGATCAACCTTATGACTGAGAGGCAGCTGGGTCAAGCCTATTTTTCTCAATATAATAGGTTATACTATAGACACATAAACACACAATTTAAATAAGTAGTTTATAAAGTTGTATTTCCTTTTGCAGAGTAAAATTAAGGTGTGGTAGAATTGTGGTAACTGGAGAATTGTGCTTGGCAACAGTCTTTTGTTTTGGTGGGAGGAGCTTAGCCAGGCTCTCCCTCTCACTGACTCTCTCTCTCTGTGGCTGACCTTCAACCTGGCAGGATCTCTGGGTCCTTCTCCTATCTTTTGGGGCATCATGTGTGCTCCAGGGGTGAGTTTTTATAATTTAAGTTGTGGCCACCATACCCAGGGTGACTAAAGTGTGTCAAAACACTGGTTAGCCCAGAGTTATGTCAAGAGAGAAGGACAAAAGTTAATAAGGTACACCATGTGGGAGAACAGCTATGGAGTGTGTAGATCTTTGATTTTAAAGTGTGAGGCTGTAATTGTATATTCTGTACATATCTATTGAGAATACAGTTATATTTTTATAGTAGTTGTTTACATAACCTGTGAAGAGGGCTGGTGGAAGGGTATCAGAGACACTCAAGATGATCAGCCATGATGTAAGTATTACCCCTAGACAGATAAGGCCATTAAGTAAAAAGCTACCCCACACTAGAACATGTAGTGAGAACCTTACTATCAAAATAATAAGACCTACCAACGTAACATGGGAGCTTGACCGGGAGAGTTATTTGACTGCTAAAATAACTCAAAACATTCTTTGAACTATATGTGCTGGTATGGGGTAATAACAGTTGCATGTTTCTGGTAGAAGATTTACCAAGGTGGGTCAGTGGAAGTGTTGTTTTCATATATTAGTTTACAGGTTGTTTTTCTCCTAAGGTGGGAGAAAGGTTGAGTAACACATTTTTGTTGTGGTTATGGTAAGTGCTATGTGCATAGTTTACATTCAATTTGTGTTATTTTATGTGCCTGTGGGAAAACTTTGTCCACTGATACTGTAAGAGGGAAGCAAGTGTTTAAAGATAAAACTATGTCAGAAGATGAGTCTTCAGATTTTTTAGGCTTCAGGGAAGAAGGTAATAATTCATCAGTAAACATGCCTGTTAACAGTGAACATGAGGGATCACCTACTCCAGGTGATATGGAAATGGAGAGAATGAGACTGAAATTAGCTGTACTAGAGGCTCAGATGAAATTAATGAAAGCTAAGGAGGAAGAACGTCAAAGATTAGGAGGTTCTGAACAAGAGCCTGAGCAGTACTTTAACATAACTAAAGCTGCAAATTTTGTCCCTAAGTTTACAGAGAGTGACCCAGATAGATATTTTTCTTTTTTTGAGAAGACTGCTTTGGAGCAAGGATGGCCCAAACAGAAGTGGGCTACCCTAGTTCGCACACAACTTGTGGGTAAAGGATTCCAGAGAGTAGAGACTCTGGAGGGGCAAGATTTTTCTGATTATGATAAGATTAAAGAGGAAGTATTGCTTGCCTACCAAATGATACCTGAGAAATATAGACAAAAGTTCAGGAATCAAAAATTTCAGGATGGGAC